TTCGGTCGTGTCGAGTGGGTGCTGCTTTTAAGCTAGTGCCGCGTTCTACAGGACGTTAAGTGAATAAAGTTAAAATCATTCACAATTACAGTAAAACGCACGCCAATAAAAACTCACACGTCGTCGTTTCGAATCTGATGATCGAAAAACGCAAAGTGAAAATGTGTCTCGGTGTCGTCGTTCCGTAGCATCGGGTGGGCGTTGCGTGTATTCAAGCTCCCGCGGCATGACGTCTCAATCCGGGTTACGGGTAGTGGAATTTCCGCTTACGTAAGTTCCGGTAACATGTAATATCGTAGTCAAAATGTTAATGCACAGGGTTTTGTTCCGGGTGATATTCCTTTTCATAGAATTCCGGGGATGGGAATATTTACTGTATATGAAAACACTTTTTAAAATAGGCCATTCATTGAAGGTGCGCCTTATACTCCGAAGCGCCTGATAGTGCAGAAAATACGATATACTTGTAGACAAGTTTAGCTGTTGAATTATTACTTCCAAAGATAATTACCACAGAAATTTCACATTAATTTGTCGGATACATTTTTGTTTTAAGTATCTTTTGATTATGCAATATGATCCGACCTGCCATATTTTACAGCAGACCGGCATTCATGTGTGCATATATTTGTATTTTCACATTTAATTAAACTAGAAATGAAGTCGAGAATGTCCTTGTCTTCAATTCAAGGTAATAGTGAAGTTGTTGTTTTTAAATGACATGACTATTTTTTTCCATCTCATCACTCTTTCTATACCTAGTAATACAAAAAATATGAAAGTTTTTTCAACATTTCCCCTTGATCCTGTATATTTCAGTTTTGTAAAATACCAGCCACTGGAACTGATGAAAAACACGGAATATTTATTTTTGTGTCACCAGTCTGCTATGATGATGAGCTGACAGATGGCTTCTTTCGAACCCTCTACCGACTGTGCAATAACTTTGCTCATGCCTGCAACATCTTTATTTCCATTGAAAAAAGGTATGGACAGCACCAACCCATCCTTCCACTTAATACAGTCCAAAATCACTGAGCATTCCATCATTTGACTCCACTTGCAGCACTCATCGTTTTTGGGAACATGGCACACACATCAAATCATTTCTGATCATTTAAAGCTGGGGTGTCCGACTTCCTTGGAGGGCCGTTACAACAGTGAAACAGAATAAATGTTTAATCATCAAATCAGTCAACTGTATATCTATATATATATACACACACACACACACACACACACACACACACACACACACACACATACAGACAAACCTCGATTTTCGAACGTCTCGGTTCTCGGCCAATTCGGTTTTCGACCAAAAATTTTGAGTTTTTTATGCCTCGGATGACGAACAAATTTCGGTTCTCGAACAAACTGAGCGCACTTGAATACGCCATTTGACTCCTCTCGCCTTCCTTACACGAGGAAGTGACGCTTCCTCGGGTAGATGAGGAAGTGATGCTTCCTCATGTTCCTTTCCATTGTGAGCAGACGTGTTCAGTAAACATTTTTATTTTAAAAAGAGCGTGGTTTCGGTTTTCGAACAATTTCGGTTTTTTGAACAGCCTTCTGGAACGGATTATGGACGAAAACCGAGGTTTGACTGTATTTATATATATATAT